CCAGGAAGCCAAAATCGCAGCGTTGATGACGGTGAGCACCCCAGAGATCAAAGGGACTGAGGTCCCAGATGATCCTCCCCAGCCCTCTCAAAAGGAGATCGAATGTTATGAAAAGATTGGAGGAGAATTGAAAGCAGGTAAGTGGAGATTACCTGATGGGAGAGAACTAGTTTCTAAGGGTTTTACCAGGAGGATTTTGCGGAAACTGCACCAGCGAGCACATTGGGGGGCACAAGCCCTGGCAGAACAAATTTTGAAATTTTTCATGAGCAAGGGAATTTACGAATTGGCCAAACAAGAGGTAAAAGGGTGCCTGATTTGTCAGAGAATTAACAAGACAAGGGCAAAACAGGCCGCCCTGGGGAGTCACCCCGTTGTGTACTGACCATTTGAAAGGATTCAAGTTGATTTCACGGAGTTGCCAAAAGTGGGGAGATTCAAATTTGTGCTTGTGGTCATGGACAAATTGACTCATTGGGTGGAGGCTTTTCCTAGCCCATGGGCAACGGCTCAGACGGTGTCCAGAAAATTGTTGGAGGAAATTGTACCCCGATATGGGGTGTTGAATAGCATTGATTTGGACCAAGGGACACATTTTACATCAAAGATTATTAAGCAGACGGCTGATGCGCTAGGCATTCGGTGGAAATACCACACTACGTGTCATCCCCAGAGTTCAGGACAGGTGGAAAGAATGAGTCAGACCTTGAAAGCACAGTTATCTAAATTGATTTTAGAAACTCGGATGTCTTGGTTGAAATACCTGCATTTAGCATTGCTTAATATCCAAACGATGCCGCATGCAGATGGGGCTCTCACCATTTGAAATGTTATATGGAATGCCATATAGACATGGAATGCCGGTGGGACACCCCAGGTTTGAGGACTGTCAGATTCAACCGTATCTGGTTGCAATCAACAAAAATTTGCAAGAACTCAGAAAACAAGGGATAGTGGCTCAGAGTGCTCCTCTGGGATTCGCTATCCACAAAATCCAACGGGGTGACAGAGTGCTTGTAAAAGTGTGGAAGGAGGTAACCTATAGTAGAGGAAATGTATTGTACCTGAATATCTGTATACAGGCTTTGCCCCGGGAGGTCCCGGTTGTCCTTGATGGGCTGCAGCTGTAACTAATGAAGATAACTGGGATAAAAGGGGGCGGGTTAGCCAGTCAGGGAGAGCTTTGGAGGAGCCCTGAACTGAGAAAGAACAAGATGCAGAAGAAGGAGTCTGTGCTGTGAAGATCTGCAGCCATAAGAACACACCAAGGAGGTATAGGTATGGACTTTAGAAATCTGACAACAACAATATGGGACTCTAGAAATAGAACAACAACAGTACCCCTCTCTCCTCACTGGGAAGGTCCCTTTCTTGTGCTCCTGACAACAGACACGGCCGTTCGGACGGCGGAGAAAGGCTGGACGCACGCGTCTAGAGTGAAGAAAGTCGAGCAACAGGAGGAAGCGCCCGAGTGGAGGGTCACTTCTTCCCCAGGCGACCTGAAACTCAGACTCCAACGTCCTTGTAAATGACCGACGGCGAGCGGATAAGTTGTATACTGTCTGATTGTGTATGCTATCTGTTTGTACACTTCAAGTGTGAATATTGTCAGGGGGTGTTTGTCGTTCATTGTAGAAGGGGACAGTGGCCGAAAGAGGCTGTGCACTCAGTGTCTGGAGGAAGAGCTCGAGCTGACTGACCGAATCCTAACCTTAGCCACAAATTTGGGAATCATTGAATTAGATTCACAAGAGTGGTTGCAGATTTTTCAGAATGGGGTGCGTGGAAAGCTTAGATCAAAAGCGGAGATTCTGGATGTGGAGTGCCGGAAGTCCATCAAAGTACCGTGTAGTTCCGATGCTGTCAGGGTTTCACGGTGGGGCACTTTTAAAAGGAGGTATGCGGCTAGGTCAGAGAACGTGTTCCCTGAAGGATACTCTTGCTGCCGTGAAGATGGTCTTCCTCGCCCCTGGTGGCACCCCAGGGGGCGGAGGAAAAGGCAGAGGAGTACGCCTGGTGGGAATCCTGATGGGCCTGAGCCTAGCCGTGTGCGGGACGCAGAGTCTGCACATTGAGGTCCCGATGAGAGGTGGAAACGAGAGCTCCGCAGATGAGTGCGGAAATTGCACTCAGGTGGTCCCAGTTGTGCAAGGGGACGGGAGACCCTCAGCATACCAAGCCCCGGAAGAATGTCTCAAGGAGCCTGGCAGGTACTGTTGGAAAAACGGCACGAGGGTCAAATTGTGTGATTGGAAAAAGGGATTTGGTGTATCAATCCTGAGGCAGGGCTAAGGAACGGGCAGTCAGATGAGAACAAACACCAGATATGGAAACGAAATGCAGAAATAATGTCAATCCCCATTTGTAACCAATGCAACCGAACCATGTGGGTTGGGGGAAAAGACGGAATCGATCTTTGTCGCGTATCACCAGGTGAATCCATTGTGTTACGACAATGCGAGGCTGGGGATATGCATGATGAACGGGAAAATGTATTGGATGGGGAGAAATGTTAAATTTGATAGCAAATTTACCCTGAACAGAGAACCAATCATATTGGATTTGGCACAGGCAAATGATGATAGGGTGTGCCTGCAATATGACCAGGTTGTCTGTTTCACGAAAAATAAAGACGATGAGGATCCTGAGGGAAGAATGAGAGAAATAACTCAGGAACTGAAGCGAAGGGAGTCAGAAATGAGGAGAAAGCGAGTTGAACAGGAAAGATTAAAAACTCTGGGAGAACAGTATGAATTACTGGAGAAACAATATGCTGATGGGGAATTACCTTCCCCGGACAGGAATCTATTCGTTGACCTGATGCAAGAAATTGCAACCGAACTAGGATTGTCAAATTGCTGGATTTGTGGGGGGGCTGAAGTCAGCAGAGAAATGGCCTTGGAAAGGAGAAGGTTTGGCTCCAGAACAGCTTCTGAACTGGGACAATCCAAGGGTCTCAAAATTGGCACAGAGACCTGAGGGATGGATTTTGGACCAGAGGGTGATTGGAACTATCTGCATCAGTCGGCAAGGAAAGGAGTACACCGAAATGGTGGGATACACTCTGTGTGTGTCCACCCTGACAGTGAACTCAAACACCAAAAGCAAGGTCTGGCAGCCAGAACCCCCTTCGGGGTATTGGAGCCGGAAGAACGAGATGCATTGTGAATGGAACAAAAGGATAGGACTGTGCTGGGTCAAAAATCCTGGAGCCAACCCTTTTCAATCCTTGGAGGGCCTGAGGGAATACTGGGGAGATCCAGGGAGAATAAACATCAGGTGGAAAGCCCCAGATGGAATTTATTGGATTTGTGGGAAGAAGGCATACAGTGAGTTACCCCCAAGGTGGAAAGGATCATGCACTTTAGGCATGATCCGGCGAGTGTTCTTCACTCTCCCTCGAACAAAGAGTAACCTACTAGGGGCTCCTCTGTATGAGACCCTGAGGAGGGAGAGGAGAAGCTTGAAAAAGATGATAGCGGTGATAAGTGGCAAACAAACCTGGGGGGAGGAAGAGTGGCCAGCTGCAAGAATAATTGATTATTATGGACCGGCCACGTGGGCCCAGGATGGAAGCTATGGGTATAGGACTCCGATTTACCTACTGAACAGGCTGATTCGGCTGCAGGCAGTGGTGGAAATTGTATCGAATCACACCTCCGAAGCCTTGGATTTACTTAGTTGGCAGCACACCCAGGTACGGGCATTTGTGTACCAAAATCAAATAGCTTTAGACTATTTGCTGGCCAAAGAAGGGGGAGTGTGTGGAAAGTTCAATGAATCAGAATGTTGTATTGAGATTGACGATTATGAGGAAACCATAAGAGGATTGGCAGCCGAAATCAAGAAGGTGGCCCATGTCCCCATTCAAAAATGGAATTCGATTTTGCAATCTTCATGGTGGGACAGACTGTTCGATGGGGCCTGGTGGAACCAAGTTATGTTTTTTGTGCTGTGTTCAGTAGGCGGAATCCTATTCCTGCCCTGTCTTAATTCTCGTTTTATTAGACTGATCCATTCCGTGGTCCAAGGGATGCAGATAGCAATAGTACCCGTGGACCTGGAGGTGGCTTCCGGAGGCAACACATCTAAGATCATGAGACTGGGAGAAAGGAAGTATGCCAGCAATGCTGCCTAAGTATTGGCGAAATTTGAGAAACGAGTGAAAACGAATATAAATAATATTGAGTATCAGGGTGTTCCACAAGGGGAGTACAGGGTAGTGTAATAGAGGTTACTCTTTTTGTGAAAGACCCTTAATGGTGGCGGGTAGAAGTAGAAATGAAAGAATTTAGCAATTTGGGTTATAAAAGAAGCATGAATTAATTAGTGATATAAATAGGGAAGGATTGTAATATATGGTAGGGATAATTCATGCTATTAATGTATGGTATAAAAATATTGTGAAATCCAAACCATGACTTTTGACTACTCTGGCCCAGAGCAGCTGTCTTATTCAGATTCAACTAGTTCCTGGATGCACGTTAAGATAACAATCGATGCCTTAACATAAGAATAGAAGCTTCCAGGGCGATGATCATTGGTTTCCGGGCCACCCTGATACATCTGAATACACGGCTCTTCCAAAGCCAATTGACACCAATGGCACACCTGGACGAGGCTTTTGTCCACCTCTGTACATGGAAAGCAATGCATGTGAAGAGACACAAAGAAAATTTGATCATCTTTGCCTCGGGCAGAATAAACTGTATAAAACCTCCCTGCGTGAAGCCGCAAGTGTGAACTGGGGGAACTCTGACACTCAGGAGGTCAGATCCATGTTCACCCGGCGCCAATCCCGGGCTCGACGCTGTCTCTTTGGCTGAGGTGGTTTCGAAGACCGAACTTCAGTCTCGCAGACAAATTAATAAATCTTTGATAAATTTGGCTCCCGATTTGATCATTTATAACACTAATCATCACAAAATGCTGTGCTAGAAATTTGTATGGCATGTTGGAAGCTACTCATTCTCGCGAGTGAAACAGACTCCCCAACATACCATCAGTGAATACTCCACACGGATTATACTACAGTCAAGGATTGAAGGGGAAACAGGTGGAATTTTCAACTGTTTGCCATTCCAGGTTTCTGTTTTGCCAGATGACAAGGATTCCCCACGGAGGTTGGCAACAAGCTGTCTGACTTCCTTCATTTTCCCTTTGGCATAGAATGCTTGTGTTTGGTAAATGGTTGCCTTTGGCACTACCATACGGGAAGAGCAATTCTCAATCTCAGCAAAGATCTGAATTGATTCACCTGAAAAAAAAAAGAAAAAACAAAAAAAATCTCAACAAAACACACCAGAATTTCAATTTCTCTTTACATTTACAAGGCAGTTTAAGCAAACTTTCACATTCTTTATACTGTTATAACAATGCTGCTATCACTGCTCTACCTGAAAAAAACCACATCCACTGATGCTAATAGAAACAAGATCCCCATGAGATGTTTTAAAAGGAAAATGAAAACAACGCGTTCAAAAAAAACCCAAAAAACAGTCTAACACTCAAAACATGCCAGTCTAACAGATGAGGTCATTGAACATTCTAGAGATGCAAGTAGCGCTCTCTTAGTTAACAGGGTATGCAGAGAAGATTGCTAAATGCAGACTGATGTGGTACAAATATCCTTAATGTTTCATTTATGTAAAAACAGTAGTACAGACTCCAGCTTTAAAAAGGAAGGAAAACCACACAGAATTGATTATAGGATCACATACCTGGGGTGTAGCCCTTTCTTTCAATTTTGGCACTTAAAGATATTGGGCCTGAGGTACAAAGCCAACAACATAGAGTCTTTTCTTTTGTGCCTGCTTGGGGTGACTGCAAGAAGAAGAAAAGTACTGTCCATCAAATTAGGAGCTCCATGAATCTCATCGGGTATTTAAACCAACACACGAAAATAATAATTTTCATAATGTGCTTATTATTACATATTTTGATAAACAAAGCTGCTTCCATAGGAAAAGTCTCAAGCAGTTTAAACAACATTATACAGATACAATGTTTGTCCTAATTCCACTGGTGTATTCGTATTGCTTTTTCTGTGATCCTCCATACTACAGCTACAATTAAAACAATACTAAAAGAAAATACTCCATAGGTTAAAACAAAAGGCTTCATAGCCTACACATCCCAACATAATGCTGCAGAGCTTTTAATTTAACTAACAGCAAATTAGAACATCTTCACACTTTCCATTATGCTGCATTTCCAAAACAAAATAACTAAGCTTAACTACTGTAATCTTTACTCCTGCTATTTCCTCAGTTTCCGAATAATCCTGTTTCATCTATGTTAAAAAGACTTATTTTACACAACACCAGGATTTAGGGCTTGAACCAAAGCCCACTAAAGTCAAATGAGAGACCTTCGATTTTCATGGAGTTTTTACAAGGTCTCTTTGCAAGCTGATTATTCACCCATACACACAAGAAATCTGTTTCAATGATCTTCTGATTTTCTTTCCCCTCTAGATTAAAATTTGAGAAGGGGATAAAAAAAAGGATTTTAGGCCAGACTGAAATCAAATCCTCACTGAGAGCAGTTGTGATATTAAAGTCATTTAAATAAAATGATATTTCAGAAAAGGATTATACAGCATTGCGATTGTTTCCTCCCCATCAGTAGAAAACAATCCATATGGAAATTACCAATTATGTACTGCAGTAACTTTTTTACATTGCATTTTTAAGTTTGCAGCCCCTCACTAAAATATTAAGCATTGCATTGTTCCATCATAGATTATTCTTTATTTATAATTTAAGAGGACCAGTTCACCAAATTTTCTTCCTTAATGAGAGTCTACAAGTTGGTAGTATCAGTTTAGACCGAAAAATGCATTTTACATCTTGTAAAGATCAAGCAACTCCAAGTACAGGATAACTTAGCCTTCAAAATACCAGCAGTTAAAGAGTTGTTAAACTGATATAATACTTAAAAGAAGAGCTGTACTTAAACTAGCCAATAAATATTAGGTAAAGTTACATGCTGATGTTGTTTCAGTTATTATACTTCATTATTTTTATGCTAGAAAAGGAATGAGTAGTTATGTCAGTTCTTACCAGTAACGAAGGAGTGTTGATATCTATATGTTCAAAGACTGTAAATTCCTTCTTTAATTTTACTGGTAGAAGCCAAGGCCTATGCAATTCAGCTTTCACCCAATACCGCACACTGCCGTGTCTGCCTTCGAATGAGGTAGCAAGTGGTCTGTGCAGGACAAAGGTCAAAATCGAGTAAAGTTTTTCTCTCATTCCAGTACAATTGATCAGATTTGGAATTAGTATGTTGTTGAGGTTTAGGATTTTTCCTTTTGTTTCTTTCTCTTAGGGAATATTCTCCCATTTTGTTGCTAAGAAACAATAACGGCCGGTACTTAAGAGAAACAAAAGAAGTAACCACAGAGAAGGGGGAGGAGTGCAGCTGGCTTTACTATCCTAGCTGAGGGGGCATTCTCCTAGAAAGAGCAGAGATATAGGGAGATTTCGGCTGAGGGAAGGGGTTGGGTCCAGCTTCTAGCTCTCTCAGAGTCGGGCGATTGATTGCTGCTGACTGGGGGGGGGGGAGGAAGAGGGAGGAGAATTGGCTGCTGCTGCCGCCCGACGGAACCCAGCCCTGTCCTGCTTCTTCTGCCTCTGCCGTGGGTGAGCCTTTGCTCGTGAAAGCAGCCCCTGAACTGGGATGTTATTGTCATAGATGAATAATGCGATGGTTGACTCTCACAATTAAAAGGCAAATATCATGTATATATATTAAGAGAAGTTTTAAAGACTTATGTTTTACCCCCCCCCCCCCCCCTTGCATTGTTATCAGGAAGTGGCCTGGGTTCTGTACATTTGGGAGGGTCGGCTTGTTACTATGGCAACATCTAACCTCCAATCAAGATTTAAGGAAGCAAACTCCACCACTGGACAGCGAAGAAGGAATCGATGGACAGAACTTTGGGAGCGGCTAAAGGGTTAAAAGGCGAAACCACCATTGTGTGGATGAGCACATGGCGGGAAAAATCCTTTCCTCTCGGTGCCGTAATATTTTCTCTATTCAGTCTTCTGTTGTAGTTTTGATAAGGTTTTAATAAACCTTTTAAAATTTTTTAGAAGTGAGTATAATTTCTCACATTATTAACACCCTACCTCACTAAAAAAAAGGGCTCTCACCATCTGCTCGGGTACCTCAGGGGAAACCCCGGGATCCCGAGCCCTTTCCCCCTCCCAGAGAGCCTCTCCCTGCCGGATTTGGGAGCCGGGCTGCCACTGCCCGGCCCCCACCGTTTCTTTACCACTGCTCCGGGTTTTTGCTACACTGTAGCCCAGACACCCTGCCTGCTGGGACGCCCGGCGGTTCCAGCTACAGCTGCGGAGTTTCTGATACATCTCGTCTACCACTCCGGGATTTTGTTCGTCCCTGTTGTTCCAGCTTGCTGCTTCCGAGGTCCCTGCTACAGCTCCTTTTGCTATGCAGAGGGGCATCAGGATCAGCTGCTCCTGGGGGTTTGTAAAGGAAGCCCCTTTCCCATCCCTTCTGCCGGCTGTGCCCGCCATTGTCCACGTGCAGAGAGACGACTGATGTCATGTCACAGCGCCCCCTGCAGCCGCGGGGAAATCGTCTCACCTGCCCTGCCCAGCTGAGGAGCCATCAACGCCCCTGCCGGCTGTGACCATAACTACACCAAAGGGGAAAGTGCCTGACAGCCGAGAGAAGGCTGTTACTGGGTTTCTGGTTTTGTTTGTTGTTGCTGCCGTTGTTGTTGTTCGTTTGCCTTGTTATACATACTAGTAAAGAACTGTTATTCCTTTTCCCATATCTTTGCCTGAAAGCCCCTTAATTTCAAAGCTATTCGGAGGGAAGGGGGTCATATTCTCCATTCCAAGGGAGGTTGCTGCCTTCCTTGGCAGACACTTGTCTTTCAAACCAAGACATATGAAGAACTGTATTTTTAATGTATCATAATAAGCATAACTTATTTGCAGCATTCCCATATCTCAGAAAAACGTAATGTTAAAGTTGGGGAAATATATCATCCCCGATTCATTCAACAGTAGTTTTGTAGAAGTTCTAAGAAGCAATTAAAGAATTGTGCAAGAAAAGTGCCAGAAGAATACACATCTCCTTTAGAGGCCATTTTCAAGTGTAGAATAAAGCATGCCCTTTTAAGGTCAAATTAAGGCCACCAAGAAAAATTAGCATTGGTACCATCCCATTATTATTTTGGACATTGTATTCAGTAAATAACTCTGTATTATTTACTTGGCTGGTATCTCAGTGGTTTAACTATAACTAAATGCTTTTGTAGTTTGTTTTGCTTTAAGTACAGTAGTTAAATATTTCAATGTAGAGTTCTGAAGAGAGAGTTTTTGAGCATCGTCTAATTTTCCTTTACCCTCATGAGATCATCTTAATATATATACACGCACACATAGAAAAAAATAAAGACTATTCTGCTCTGAACACTGAACGACAAAGTCCTTTTAGGGAGTTGGAGAGAGAAAAAAAAATGCAGATAGGGATGTCAAACCTTTCAGCATTACCCTTTTATCCTCTTCCTCCTCCTTCCCCCTCCCCCCCCATCATAAGATGGAGGACATAAGATTTTTATATTCCCTTCATGTCCCATTAACTGTAACTTGTCTTTTCCTAACACTTTCATCCTTTAATCTCCAGGAAGAATTTTTATATTGCACTATGTTTTAAATGCATCATAATAAAATATAAGTTATGGGCAAAGCTTCCCTCCCTAATTTCTATATCAAATAATATTAACTGTGCTATTACTTTACTAGAAAGGATCATTCTGCTACAAGTTTGACATCTCTATTTGCACATCTGAAATGTTTACTTTTTTTCTTAATAACGCAAATGAAAGGATTTTCTAATCAACTTTCAATGTTTCATCCTGCTGCAGTATCCTTAAGGAAAAAAAAACAAAAACAAAAACAAACAAACAAAAAAACCCAAAAAACAGTAAGGCCAGTCAGCATATTGGTTCTTTTCACTATTGCTTTGTATTTGGTTGCACTGGGTCTGGCTGGGATGGAGATAACTTGCCTCATAATAGCCCATATCATGGAGCGTTCACTACACATACTGAGGCCCTGCTTTTCAGGAAGCGGCTGGACATTTGCCTGCTGATGGGAACTAGTGAATTAATTCTTATTTTTGCTTTGCTTCCGCATACAGCTTTTGGTTTTTTTAATTAAAACTGCCTTTATCTTGACCCACAAGCTTGTCCATCTTATTTTCTCTCCCTGGCCTGTTGATGCAGAAGAATGAGAGAACAACTGCACGGAGGGCTGGCAGGCAAGCAAGGTCAAATCACCACATTGGTCTTGTTTTAAATAAATTTTAGAAATATTCCATGGATACAAAATAGCAAGAAATGGTAAGGAGGCAGTGTCAAACTAGTGTTCTTCAGGCCTTTTCCTACCAGCCTTCATTTTTTCCTGTATTATCAAAGATGGCTTCATAGTATTCTTTCAAGTCACTTGACAAGACCTTTAGTGTTTTAATCAATTCTTGTGCTATTTTAGTGGTCATATTTGAACATTTCTTCCAACTCAAGGGAATATCAGTATTATCCTTATCACTTCTTATAGAAGTTTTTAATTTGAACCTTAAATTGATTTCTAAGTTTCCATACATATGCATCCTCTTCAGCATTCTAATAATATCGACTGTAAAAGCCCTGCGCTATTTGCGGAAACTGATCTGTAAAAGCATTTATCATCTGCAAGTTCTGTTAAAGCCAGTCCCTTTAACAAGCAGATGTTTTATTAGCTTTAAAATTAGGTATCAGTCTAATATTCTGCCTATTTTTTTAACCTTAATGACTTTGGCACCTGGCTTTTACAGTAAAAGGCTCCTCCTACCTCCTTTCTTTCATCTATTTCCAGACTCTCTCTGTTCCTTCATATTTAATTTTCCTGCAAATTGTGCTTGAGCTAATTTCCATGTTGGTAACTCCTCTATGGATAAATCTTCCCTTCACAATGCATACATTAGAATCCTCAAATGTGTGTGTGTGTGTGGCAATTTATCTTAAGACTTCTGCTATCACTCTTGCTTCACCTTTGCTTTCTGAGTTAAGTGGGATTAGGTATGGGAATGTTTCTTGCTTCATCCACCCATCCATTTGGTTTTTTTTCCATCCTGGCTGTTTTGTCTAGAGGTCAGCCTGAGTACATACATCCTATTTGAAATAGAAAAAAAAAGCCAAGCAAACTCTTATTTAGTTCAAATGCAGTTAAGCCTGCCACATCTGTTTCAAACTGAGCCTGAACAGTTAAACTGTTATCACTAGGTTCTGATGGCCTGCATGGCTCCAGTAAAATCTTGTTTCATTTAGAAGATACCTCAGCCCCTCTGCAGGACTCAAATGACACCAGTTCCCCTCCCTTCTTCTGTGAAGGGGTCCAATCCTCCATAAGGAGCCAACATACCTCAGTCAAAAGAAAGAGTAACCAACTGGGCAAAAATGAGCTTCTGTTTTGTGAACAACTCTTAACCAGTTTAAAAGCAACCTCTTCAGTTTAATGAGATTTTGTCCTCTAATGCATGTCTGAGCACAACTCCTACTACCACTGAAAAGGTTTCCCTCCCCCCACAAGAATTTTTCTTAAGCAGGTATGTATCTTAGCCTTCTCTCACCCAAGCTGTGTACTGCATGTAAGTACTTACATCTGTGGAAGCTCAAAGCTGAATGCATATTCATGCCTTCCTGAATGAATGATGTGAAGTCCTTCTTCGGAATTGTCATCATCTAGGAGGGAAAAACCCAATATGCTATTCCACCTGTGAATATTTTACACAGCACAATATATTATATAGGTTTCTTTTCCAGCATAAGAGGGATTTATACATTCTTTACAATACTAAGAATACAGTGTCTCAGAAACAAGTCTCTCCAGTCCATTTGTATTAACTGCTAGATGTATAGCTGCAGAATTTTTAAGGTTAGGTGAGATTCCAAGACTTGTCTGACATAAAAGCAGAAGTTAACTTGTTTTAATTTATGATCTTGTGAAAAACAGAGTTCACTCCTTGGAATTTTTAAAAGTTTAATAATTATAGGATAAAGAAGGACAATATTTCCAGCGCTGGGGTGCTCCTGGCCAACAGCCAAAGAACACACCAGTACATACAGTGTTATCTTTATACCTTTACATCTGACTGGGGTACATGCATATTCATGTCTTTCATACATTATTCAAACATTCTTTCGAACTTTCTGATGTTTTAGGAACTCCTTTGTTTGGCTTCTTCTCACTCCAGCTTATCTGCATGACAACCTGGGTGTCAGGTCAATATATTTTATTTCTTCTTGTGTCTCCATCCTGCTGTTTCACATCCTCTGATAAGGATTTACTATGTCCTCTTTAAATTTAACATGGTATTCTCTAATTGTCCTCCAGTGCTCTGGTTTGTGTCATGGTTATCTTATCACTTGGACAGGTCAGTCAGTGCATGGCCTTACACCGTTCTTCTAAATTACAAAAAGCCCTTTTCACATCTTATGTTTTACTAAGGTCTATAGTACAATACATTCATCACAATACTATTTCTATAAGAGATACATAGATATTATCTTCATTACACTACTATTTCTATGAGCAATACAGGGCATACTTAAGCTGATTATGTTATATTAACAAGCAGCTAGAAAGAATTATGATTTTTACTATACTAAATACTTATAATCAATAACAACATGCAAAAGCTACTACATAAATGTAAAAGCCAATATTATCTGGTCATTTTTAACAATCTTAAATCCAAGTACTAACATAGCTGTAACTGCTGCCATTTCAAGGTCTGCCTGAAAGATCTGTAATGGAAACTGTTTTCCAATATGACTTCTAGTTAAAACTTAAAATTAAATAGAACTCTCTAATAGTATTAAGTGATCTTAGTATTTTCTGCTACATTAATTGATTACATTTAGTAATTCAGCTTCCTCCTACCGCCTGCATAGCAAGTGTCCAAAAATTGATTTTTTTAAAAAGTGCACAAGCACCACCTAGAAAGTACCAAACAAATTCAGGGGCACAAGAAGTGGCAAGCTGTCCAATTAATGCTATTAAGAGTTAATGTATCAAAAATTCAAAGTTTAGCTCGATTTTGCTTGGATAGCAAAGACCCAAACATTTCCTAATTTCAATGAGAAAGCTGACCTTGTTTTAGAGTCATGATTTCTTGTATTGCTTGAAATGCCCCAATAAATTTGTGGTTTATTCCGATATAATTACCATGAACCCAGAAAAAAACCCTGCTGATTCCAACAGAATAGACATTTATTTAGATAAAACAATTGAGCATCTCATATACAAAAGGGTTGGCATAATAAAGGCACACATAGTGGGATTACACAAAAGACCCTTCCTGTTGTTAATAGTCTGAAGCATCATGAAGGAACGCTGCTACATTTTAAGATTTTTTAGTTCCCACTGTTCTACAAAAGTGCTGATGCTCCAATTTCTTTAGTGCACCAGAAATGCTGAAACAAACCTATGCAAAAATATACACCCCCTAGAACACTATTTATGTAAATGCCCCTGCAGCATGTAATGTCACAAAATAACAATCTTCAATACACTGAAAGAGCAAAGCAATGTGTATAATGCTTTTTGTTGCTGTTGTTGTTAAAAAAACGCTTGGAGGGCTTTGCTTGGTTTTAATTAAAAATAATAGCGTTTTCCTTGCACATACGTTTTTTCATCCCTTCTTCACTTCCTGTCAGATCAGCAGTCCCACTGAGCCTGAACAGCAGCAGCGGAATTATGGTAAGCAAGTACTGAGCTGTCAATCACAGACTAGGCTGGAGCAGGACTGGCCTAAACAGGCACGAGCACATCCCCTGCCAACCACTCATATACATACAATATACATGACACCCCACTACATTTGCTCAGCAACTCTGCTCACAGTCTGGCCTGACTACCGCAGAGGTAAGGAGAAAGGGGGAGGGCCATCACCCACGCCTCACCATTCGCTCTCCTCATACCACAGAGCCATGCTGCTGGCTTGCCCCGTGTAGACACCCCAATCCTGCACTTCTCTCAGGAGCGTGTGCTGACCATTACTGAAAGGCGATTACAGATCGTGCTGGCCAGGGGCGTGGGCCAGGAGAGATAACCGAGTGAGCGATGCAAGAGGCTGCGGGGCCGTGTGTCCCAACGGCCGCCCCTGCTCACAACTCCTTGCTGGCCCAGTGGATGTGCACGGCAGGAGCTTGAATACTTCTGTCTGTCCCCAGAGGTGGGCATTCCCAAGAAAGGCAATGTGCCCTCTGCAGCCACTTTGCTCCGCCTCCCAGCACACACTAGAGAGCGGGCAAAGGAACTTCCCCCACGTCCCAGGCCCCTACAATCAGCGGCTGGCATCACCCCAGCAACAGGCTAACAAACCCCAGCAGGCCAATGACAAGGCGGGGACAGGGAGTAATCTTCCAGACTATGCTAGGGTACAAGGCGTAGAGATAAACTCCACTCTCTGCAGCGAGTGTTCACAGTCCTGCCCTGCAGCCAAGGGAAGGATAGTGGTGTCTTGGGACAACTGCTTAAGATTGAACGTGCTGCACGTGCAGCACCAGTCTTGCTTCTGGTGTTGGAACGTGTCAGATCTGTCCCTTCCCTGCCACCATTTGTTCCCTTTCCAGACAAAACCAAGCACCTACTATCGAGGTCAGCATTTGGATCTACAGGCCACATAGAAAGTCATTGCGTCTGCTTAAGCTGACAGAAGCATAGGATCTCCTTCTTACTTGTAAGGATACATCCTGCTATGAGTGACTCCTGCATGCTTGCATGTTTCTGTCATCTGCAAGCCAGAGGTGAATGAATTTTTCGCATGAGAGAATTATTTCTAAGGCAGCAGTATAAAGAACATGTGAACTAGAAAGACATCTCATGAGCGACCCGAACTTGCTTGCATCATGGTAACATAATTAAAATCGATAGCAACTGCTTTGTAGAAGATTTCTGCAGTAAATATCTTTCAAATTAAAAAACAAAACAAAGACACACACACAAAAAAAACAACACCCCCCCCCCCCCCCCCCCCACCCCGCAACAAAGTCAAAACAACATACCAAAACACCAAAACACCCAACCAAATTATGTACTCCGTTTTAACATTTTCTCGTTCTAGGAATTGAGTCATCACCACCACCTGATGTGCGCAACCAATATGCAGAGAGAAGGAATACTCCCTCCCTTCTTCCCGGGACAGGCCCCAAACAGGATTGAACCGCTTCTAACAAAGGGTGGAAACTTCAGAAATAACAAGCTTAGAGTCCCTTGTACGTTCACAACAACGTAACTATGCAAACAATAGATTAGCAAATTTAAGACCCACAGTCCCACTCACAATGTAATACCCCATTTCCATACCCCAAAATAAGGGAATTTGCAGGGCACTTTCCATTTCTATAGGAGCTTAGCAGACCAGGTTTTCATTGAATGCAGGTTCCAGAACTCCTCAACTCAGAAGCGATGCTCCATTCATACAACCATGACCTCTTATTTGGCCTTTCAGACAGATTTTTCCATCTGGGTCCCCCATAGAGGAGTTGAATAAAAGAAATTAAAGTAATTTACAAGTATACTGGTTTAGAACAAAGGAAGAAATGGAAAATTACGGGTGCAGTAGTGATAGCATATCAAAGTAATCCACAGGAAATCTTTTATCTGCCAACAATGAATCAACCTCAAAAATAATTCTGCAAGTCAGACCTGTATCTGTTATGTGTCAAAACGTCTAATGGTACATCTTAATTACACTTATGATTCGATAGGATGCTACCAAGAAAATAATTTACTACAAATCTGGTTTTGACTCAACAGCTATTTTCCCCATAGAGAAACAAATCACACTAATATTGCTAAAGAAAAAAAAGGAATTTTATATTACAAAACACATATTAAAAACCAATGCAAATCCTTATGAAAAGACTGTTAAAAGGCAGGTATTTTTTAAAAGTCCTGTCTTCAGGTACTTTGAAAATGCACCTCAACATGCTTTTAAGTAAACGTTCAAATAGTCAAAAATACAACCTAAGAATGTAACCAGCATTTCCTCATCTTTAGAAATAGTGAACGCTCTGAGACTGCATATTAAGGAGGGATAAACCAAGCAAAGATACATCTTTTTCGGGAAATATGTCTGCATGTAATGAATGAATAAGCGAAAAGCTTACCTCTTGCATGCCCGACTAGAACGTCCTTATAGTTAAAATACTCTACTTCTTCAGTGTAATTTTGTGTATAGGCAGTGTTGGATCCAGCATTTCTAGATTCGCTCCAACGTACTTTTGCATGTCCTCTTGCATGAATTTTAAGAGCTTTCACTCTAATTTCCCCAGTAACTTCTAAACTGATCCTTCCTGAGACTGTGTCCCCGCTAGAATACACGGGGATATTGCTGTTACTGAGACAGTCAAAGCTTATTGTCAAACTCTTCACCTTCCCCAGCACCATGATTTTTAACGAAGTGTATAAAAATATACTGCAAGGAAAACAAAAAAAAGTCAAGGTCTCATACAAAACGCGACCTTCACTTTACACTGAACAACGCCTCTGCTGCGTAGAGCCTGCCAACAAGATCAGCGTGTCCCCTACGAACGCTTCATCGGAATTGCTGAGAAGACAACGACAGCCGCCCAACACTACGATATACGTACAAAGGCAGCTGGCCCGCACGCTGCCAGCTCACTTTAAGAACAGCTTTGTGAAAAACAACCACCCCCGCGCATGCGCGAAGCGAGTCGTAGCAGCGGTTTCCTCCTCCACCGCTTGCCTGTCTTTCCTGCCGCGTTCGTTTTTTTTTTTTTTTTTTTTTTTTGTGTTATCGCTTCCATCTCCTGCAGAGAGTCAGAGCACTCCCTGGTGGAGTCAGGGCTCTGCTACGAGTTCGCAGTACGGTATTGAAATACGTACTGAAGAACTGAGAGAAAAACGTCGGGGGGAGGGGGCGCTAGGGCTCCTTGTCCAGAGGGTCATCTCAATCTCATCTCATCTGTCACGGCCTGGGGATCCTGGCTTGCTGGTTGGGAGGTGTCTAGGAAGAAGCTGGCAGCTGAAATCGGGCAGCAGTCGGTGGGCACCAGGACCTGGATTCTGGCAGTAGACGGCACGGCTTCTCCCACTCAGCGCGGGGTTGCCTGGCTAACAGTAAAGATGCAACGATTTAGTCAGGGAAATGCTCGGCACGTTGCTCAGTTACAGACCTTGCCCAAAGCTTTTGTTCGTGAAGGGGCTAATCCCACCTCCCAACCAGCAAGCCAGGATCCCCAGGCCGTGACAGATGAGATGAGATTGAGATGACCCTCTGGACAAGGAGCCCTAGCGCCCCCTCCCCCCGACGTTTTTCTCTCAGTTCTTCAGTACGTATTTCAATACCGTACTGCGAACTCGTAGCAGAGCCCTGACTCCACCAGGGAGTGCTCTGACTCTCTGCAGGAGATGGAAGCGATAACACAAAAAAAAAAAAAAAAAAAAAAACGAACGCGGCAGGAAAGACAGGCAAGCGGTGGAGGAGGAAACCGCTGCTACGACTCGCTTCGCGCATGCGCGGGGGTGGTTGTTTTTCACAAAGCTGTTCTTAAAGTGAGCTGGCAGCGTGCGGGCCAGCTGCCTTTGTACGTATATCGTAGTGTTGGGCGGCTGTCGTTGTCTTCTCAGCAATTCCGATGAAGCGTTCGTAGGGGACACGCTGATCTTGTTGGCAGGCTCTACGCAGCAGAGGCGTTGTTCAGTGTAAAGTGAAGGTCGCGTTTTGTATGAGACCTTGACTTTTTTTTGTTTTCCTTGCAGTATATTTTTATACACTTCGTTAAAAATCATGGTGCTGGGGAAGGTGAAGAGTTTGACAATAAGCTTTGACTGTCTCAGTAACAGCAATATCCCCGTGTATTCTAGCGGGGACACAGTCTCAGGAAGGATCAGTTTAGAAGTTACTGGGGAAATTAGAGTGAAAGCTCTTAAAATTCATGCAAGAGGACATGCAAAAGTACGTTGGAGCGAATCTAGAAATGCTGGATCCAACACTGCCTATACACAAAATTACACTGAAGAAGTAGAGTATTTTAACTATAAGGACGTTCTAGTCGGGCATGCAAGAGGTAAGCTTTTCGCTTATTCATTCATTACATGCAGACATATTTCCCGAAAAAGATGTATCTTTGCTTGGTTTATCCCTCCTTAATATGCAGTCTCAGAGCGTTCACTATTTCTAAAGATGAGGAAATGCTGGTTACATTCTTAGGTTGTATTTTTGACTATTTGAACGTTTACTTAAAAGCATGTTGAGGTGCATTTTCAAAGTACCTGAAGACAGGACTTTTAAAAAATACCTGCCTTTTAACAGTCTTTTCATAAGGATTTGCATTGGTTTTTAATATGTGTTTTGTAATATAAAATTCCTTTTTTTTCTTTAGCAATATTAGTGTGATTTGTTTCTCTATGGGGAAAATAGCTGTTGAGTCAAAACCAGATTTGTAGTAAATTATTTTCTTGGTAGCATCCTATCGAATCATAAGTGTAATTAAGATGTACCATTAGACGTTTTGACACATAACAGATACAGGTCTGACTTGCAGAATTATTTTTGAGGTTGATTCATTGTTGGCAGATAAAAGATTTCCTGTGGATTACTTTGATATGCTATCACTACTGCACCCGTAATTTTCCATTTCTTCCTTTGTTCTAAACCAGTATACTTGTAAATTACTTTAATTTCTTTTATTCAACTCCTCTATGGGGGACCCAGATGGAAAAATCTGTCTGAAAGGCCAAATAAGAGGTCATGGTTGTATGAATGGAGCATCGCTTCTGAGTTGAGGAGTTCTGGAACCTGCATTCAATGAAAACCTGGTCTGCTAAGCTCCTATAGAAATGGAAAGTGCCCTGCAAATTCCCTTATTTTGGGGTATGGAAATGGGGTATTACATTGTGAGTGGGACTGTGGGTCTTAAATTTGCTAATCTATTGTTTGCATAGTTACGTTGTTGTGAACGTACAAGGGACTCTAAGCTTGTTATTTCTGAAGTTTCCACCCTTTGTTAGAAGCGGTTCAATCCTGTTTGGGGCCTGTCCCGGGAAGAAGGGAGGGAGTATTCCTTCTCTCTGCATATTGGTTGCGCACATCAGGTGGTGGTGATGACTCAATTCCTAGAACGAGAAAATGTTAAAACGGAGTACATAATTTGGTTGGGTGTTTTGGTGTTTTGGTATGTTGTTTTGACTTTGTTGCGGGGTGGGGGGGGGGGGGGGGGGGGTGTTGTTTTTTTTGTGTGTGTGTCTTTGTTTTGTTTTTTAATTTGAAAGATATTTACTGCAGAAATCTTCTACAAAGCAGTTGCTATCGATTTTAATTATGTTACCATGATGCAAGCAAGTTCGGGTCGCTCATGAGATGTCTTTCTAGTTCACATGTTCTTTATACTGCTGCCTTAGAAATAATTCTCTCATGCGAAAAATTCATTCACCTCTGGCTTGCAGATGACAGAAACATGCAAGCATGCAGGAGTCACTCATAGCAGGATGTATCCTTACAAGTAAGAAGGAGATCCTATGCTTCTGTCAGCTTAAGCAGACGCAATGACTTTCTATGTGGCCTGTAGATCCAAATGCTGACCTCGATAGTAGGTGCTTGGTTTTGTCTGGAAAGGGAACAAATGGTGGCAGGGAAGGGACAGATCTGACACGTTCCAACACCAGAAGCAAGACTGGTGCTGCACGTGCAGCACGTTCAATCTTAAGCAGTTGTCCCAAGACACCACTATCCTTCCCTTGGCTGCAGGGCAGGACTGTGAACACTCGCTGCAGAGAGTGGAGTTTATCTCTACGCCTTGTACCCTAGCATAGTCTGGAAGATTACTCCCTGTCCCCGCCTTGTCATTGGCCTGCTGGGGTTTGTTAGCCTGTTGCTGGGGTGATGCCAGCCGCTGATTGTAGGGGCCTGGGACGTGGGGGAAGTTCCTTTGCCCGCTCTCTAGTGTGTGCTGGGAGGCGGAGCAAAGTGGCTGCAGAGGGCACATTGCCTTTCTTGGGAATGCCCACCTCTGGGGACAGACAGAAGTATTCAAGCTCCTGCCGTGCACATCCACTGGGCCAGCAAGGAGTTGTGAGCAGGGGCGGCCGTTGGGACACACGGCCCCGCAGCCTCTTGCATCGCTCACTCGGTTATCTCTCCTGGCCCACGCCCCTGGCCAGCACGATCTGTAATCGCCTTTCAGTAATGGTCAGCACACGCTCCTGAGAGAAGTGCAGGATTGGGGTGTCTACACGGGGCAAGCCAGCAGCATGGCTCTGTGGTATGAGGAGAGCGAATGGTGAGGCGTGGGTGATGGCCCTCCCCCTTTCTCCTTACCTCTGCGGTAGTCAGGCCAGACTGTGAGCAGAGTTGCTGAGCAAATGTAGTGGGGTGTCATGTATATTGTATGTATATGAGTGGTTGGCAGGGGATGTGCTCGTGCCTGTTTAGGCCAGTCCTGCTCCAGCCTAGTCTGTGATTGACAGCTCAGTACTTGCTTACCATAATTCCGCTGCTGCTGTTCAGGCTCAGTGGGACTGCTGATCTGACAGGAAGTGAAGAAGGGATGAAAAAACGTATGTGCAAGGAAAACGCTATTATTTTTAATTAAAACCAAGCAAAGCCCTCCAAGCGTTTTTTTAACAACAACAGCAACAAAAAGCATTATACACATTGCTTTGCTCTTTCAGTGTATTGAAGATTGTTATTTTGTGACATTACATGCTGCAGGGGCATTTACATAAATAGTGTTCTAGGGGGTGTATATTTTTGCATAGGTTTGTTTCAGCATTTCTGGTGCACTAAAGAAATTGGAGCATCAGCACTTTTGTAGAACAGTGGGAACTAAAAAATCTTAAAATGTAGCAGCGTTCCTTCATGATGCTTCAGACTATTAACAACAGGAAGGGTCTTTTGTGTAATCCCACTATGTGTGCCTTTATTATGCCAACCCTTTTGTATATGAGATGCTCAATTGTTTTATCTAAATAAATGTCTATTCTGTTGGAATCAGCAGGGTTTTTTTCTGGGTTCATGGTAATTATATCGGAATAAACCACAAATTTATTGGGGCATTTCAAGCAATACAAGAAATCATGACTCTAAAACAAGGTCAGCTTTCTCATTGAAATTAGGAAATGTTTGGGTCTTTGCTATCCAAGCAAAATCGAGCTAAACTTTGAATTTTTGATACATTAACTCTTAATAGCATTAATTGGACAGCTTGCCACTTCTTGTGCCCCTGAATTTGTTTGGTACTTTCTAGGTGGTGCTTGTGCACTTTTTAAAAAAATCAATTTTTGGACACTTGCTATGCAGGCGGTAGGAGGAAGCTGAATTACTAAATGTAATCAATTAATGTAGCAGAAAATACTAAGATCACTTAATACTATTAGAGAGTTCTATTTAATTTTAAGTTTTAACTAGAAGTCATATTGGAAAACAGTTTCCATTACAGATCTTTCAGGCAGACCTTGAAATGGCAGCAGTTACAGCTATGTTAGTACTTGGATTTAAGATTGTTAAAAATGACCAGATAATATTGGCTTTTACATTTATGTAGTAGCTTTTGCATGTTGTTATTGATTATAAGTATTTAGTATAGTAAAAATCATAATTCTTTCTAGCTGCTTGTTAATATAACATAATCAGCTTAAGTATGCCCTGTATTGCTCATAGAAATAGTAGTGTAATGAAGATAATATCTATGTATCTCTTATAGAAATAGTATTGTGATGAATGTA